CTACTTACCCGCTACACCAGCAGATACCAATAGATAAGTATCAGCTGCTTTCAAAGAGTATCTAAGCTTCACTTATTCCCTCTTTGAACCCCCCGCAACCCCATTAGGAAGAAAAGTAGAAGTTGTAAATCCAGATGCTATATGCGGTTATTGCTTCATGTAAGAGATTGACGAAATGCAATCAGCGCACAAAGTTCAACTCTACACCTTATCAAGCGGGGTAAGACAATCAATTTTATGAATTACCACAATTGATTTTGGCATCAACCACCAGGGCCCTATTATCACCACATTACGCGTCGTTTCAACAAGCGAAAAATCGGTAGGAAGCTCACCGTTTATAGGCCTGGTGATACCTGCAATGGTCTACGTAGACGCTTAAACCTTGCTAAGCGATGCCTCATTTACATCACCAATGGGCGTTGAGCCCACAATGGTTTCCGAATGCGTAAACTTGTCTGATCCACTTACCTTGCACGTTAGCTACTTTTAGTAGAATTTTATTTGTGTGTTGAATATTCAGGCTTATGGAGTCAAAATTACCCGTTAGTACGAACATTCTCCTCGAAATATTGCATAAAAAGAATTCATGCTTGTTACCCTACAGTTTACTCACTCATTGGCAACCCTGTCCGCTAGGGATCAGCGAAGAAATACAAGGCCGTCAAGCACCCAGTCCGTCACCAGTTAGAGACAAGCGCGTTCCGTAAAAGCGGTTGGTTGATGTCAGGGGTTGAAGTTCGGCTGTTAAGGACGTCCCAACGCGACCTGAGGGAAGTTAACGTTAAGGTCATCGTGCCTGTCGGCCACCAGGTAATCAAATGCATACGTGTCTGTAGATCGGATCAGAACGTGAAAATTGATCAAAGTTCGTACACTGCTAAGACCTCATGAAATCAAAGTAACAAAGTTGCTGCGGCGCGCTGTCCTGCAGGTTTCGGAACAAACACGTCACTTAAGGCAAAGGGAGGTTGTACCCAAGTTTGGAATATCCATCTACATCAACATCGCCACGAATGATCAGCTACTTGCAAGGCCTTTCTATTGAGATCTAGAAAGTGTCCAAGTTTAACGTCCCCAGTCGATTGTCGTTTGATGGCGTCACTCTCACGGGCTCCTTCCCTCCCCAAGTTAGCGACCCTATAGTTCGGTGTTAAAGGTAGTGAATTTTAACTATAAATCCTCAGGGTCTGGATTCTCTTGATGAATTATGTCCGTGTCCGAACCGAAGCATCCTTCTATACTCGTGTTGACACTTTAATAAGGCTTTTCGCCGATACTATATGAGTATTAGCGAGTGTAGCATGAAAACTCGTTTCTTAGGGACTTGCATATTGCCAGGCTTCTGGTAGCGGGCGACGACCCAGGAGGTGCCGCTGCTGTCCTTGGAAACACCCATGCCGACTTTGGTGGTGTATTTCCAGACGCACTGGGTGTAATGGCCAAAGCTCATGTAGTTAGAGCCCGAGATGACCTCACCGTTGTACTGGCTG